ATAATAATAATAATAATAATAATAATAATAATAATAATAATAATAAACTTGAAATTGTAATAGTAATAACACTGGTAATAATAATGATAATAAATCATTTATTGTTTCAAATGACTCCGATGGTTTTTTTAGTATTTTGTCTACTACATTTCTATGGACACAGAAATAAATAAGTAATAAGTATAGGGTGAAAAATTATTTAAAAATTAAACTAAGAAGCTAGATGCTACATTTATTATTTATTGGTTGATTTCAGAAACTTAATTTCAGTATTCTATGTGCATCAATGGTCACTGGATGGATCGAGAGTGCCCACCTGGAATGAGTTATTCTGCTAAAAGTCAAGTTTGCCGATTAGACCCTTCTTGTGCTCATCCCTCTGTAGGCGCAACTTTTGTGTTTTAGTTTTACAGTATTACTCGTCATGTTAATGATTATTTTTAGTCAAGTATTTTACTAGAAAAAAAATTTTTCTTCAATATATGTGGAGATTATGCAGAATAGTTTTGAATGCATGAAGTAGTCTAATAAGTTTGGAAAAAGTCAACTGCATAAATTAAGATCAGAAGATGAACCTTTTCATTACCGAACTCTGATAGATCTGACTTATCAGTACTGTAACAAATACATGCCTCATGAGTGATCAAGCAGTATAGTAAATAACTGTTGAATTTAGAAATGCAAACTGGATGTATCGTACAATTTGAAATGTGATGAATACATGATTTGTTCCTGGAAAAATATCTTCGAGCATCACTTTTGTCCAACGTTTCATCGCTGGGATAGTGAAGCTCTACGTTGCATACCTGACAGCAACTGTGTACCTTCCATGGTTAGTTATTTATTTACATAAAATTAATTAATGACAATCAGTTAATTTGTGTAAATAAAAGCATTTTAACTTATTAACCAGGAAATAAAATACGCAACAAATTTTATTTTGAAGTCAGAAATTTGTTAAAAATAAGTTATGTACTAACAGATTTCTACATTCATGCAAAATACTTCTTGACAGTGCATTAGATGTAATAGTGACTCACTGGTTAAGTAATAACTGGAAGTTAGACAAAGGCTGCAGAAAATTTTGGGACTCAAATTTTTTGACTGAAAGATATCTTAACTGATTTACAATTAGTGACGATGATTTGATAGGCAAGATCATGCAAGGAGAACGATATCATCGCCAGTTCTGATTGTCAGTCCTATCAGCAATGTAAAAATGGAAGATGGCGTAAAATGCTCTGTACAACATATTCTTCCGGTGTTTTTTCATTGTCGCTTTACTGACTTTTTATTTACAAATTTTTTACATATAAATAACCACTGCTTACACTTTTCCGACTATGGGTTTTTTAAAAGTAGTTTTGATTGTTCCCATTAATGTAACGTTTTTCTTTCTTATTAAGTATTCTTTTGAAATTAAACTTATAGCAAGATTTTGCGAGAAATGTATTCTCAGTCAGCTCCGTCCAGATCGTATTACTCATGTAGAGAAGCAATGCATTGATGGAGACACGTCAAATGATGAAGAAAATTGCGCACATTATGCTATTTGCATTGACGGGAAGTGGAAAAAGGCCAAATGCAAGTTACGTGAAATGTTTTGGAATCAACAGTTGAAACGGTGTGACTACAGCAATCAGTGCAAAGCATACAAACAAGCTGACTGCAGCCACGGACAGGTAACAACAAGTTCAACTACCTAGATCAAATATTGGCAAGTTTGTTTTTTTACTTATGGTTTGAAAAGTAATATCTCTAACAAATCCATAGGCTATTCAAATTTGAGCAATATAAAGCAATAATGATTACCATTTGAAATGAAAAATCCCTTGCTGGTAGCAATTAAAAATCATTCAAAAATTCAAAATGACAGTAAATTTTTATTTTTTGAAAATTTTTTTACAAATTTCAAGTGAATAAAATTTGAGCGATTGATTGGTGGAGTCTGCGGTGAATATTTGGAATGCATACACGGTTCGTGGATATTAATGAAGTGCTTACAGGGATTTACATTTGGTTAATTTTTGTTTATAATGAAAAAAGATTGAGATGATTATCAAATCAAATTATTTATTTCAAGAAAAACTTGTGCCTTTTTCTAAAATTGATAAATTGAAAAAAAAATCAAGTGCTATACACAAATATCCGTTACTAAGTTATTGATATGCTGGCAAATTTTATTTTTATGATTTTTATAAGACACTTTATCAGTTAGTTAAAGGAAGCTTAACAAATAGTTGTTGTCATAATTTGAATGGGAAAATAAGCATTGCATTTTTCACAGCAATGTGGAAATTGCTGCATCAAAAGTATTCTTCGCGTGATCAGTTAAGTTAGATAATTAAGGTGTTTTATTGGTAAGTTGGAATCGATTTGGTGTGTGCATATTTCTTTCATGTACAACTGAGATTTCAATCTTTATCAAAATTTGGAGACTATAACGAATTTAAAATTGATTGTTGAAACTTTCATCGATTTCTGAGACTTATCTAAGCAAGAAAATTTAGACCGAAATGTGCAGAAGTGCGTCAGTTCGCATAATTGTGCATCTTTTCACGATACCCATCTGAGTACGATCGATTATAATATTTCGATGTCGCCCCTTTCTCATCTGTTGACTACATTTGAGAATGATCAACAGAATTTGCACAAAATGACGACCTCTTCATCTTATGAACAACCCAAACAGGTAAAAAATTTCAGCAAGGTCTCTCAGTCCTTTTATTGCAAAACTTCTTGTATAAACTATCTTTGAAGTGTATCTTAGAACAAAGTGGTCACTCAAAAATATGGCGGATTTACTCTACTTCATTGCAATTCTATAAAACAATAATAAGCACCGCATGCCCAAAAAGGAATTAGTCTTTTATTTTATCTTGCGGTGTAGGTCAGAAGTGATGATCAGTGATACACGGATAGCATTTAATTTTTAAAGATATGCGTGAAATAATAGTAATGCTCAAAATTTTAATCAAGACTTTTATTTAAGTGTTGACAGTCACACCTGACTCAAAGGGGTTAAATGGTAATGTCAAAATCCAAAGATGAAATTTCATCAAATTGATCTCATTTTTAAACGCTCAGAAGTAGTCTGTGAAATTCTGACGTTTACAATGTCAGTATTAATGCATTATAAAAATTAGTAGTTCAAAAGTAAAGCTCGTAATGAGATATCGGAATACTCAATAAGTTCATGCATTTGCATTTTCATCTTTTTCCCTGCGTTTCTTATCCCAATGTTTTCACAAAGTAAGTTTATTTTAAGTACTGCGTGGTTGGAAGCAAAATTCGTGATGAATACAATTGTAGTAGATATTTTATTTGTACGAAAAATGGATACAAAGTTCGGTACTGCAAGGATGGTCAGAAATTTAATGAAGAAAGTGGTCAGTGTGACAAAAAGTAAGTCTTTAGTTCAAAAAAATAGAGTAATAGTTTAAATAATTTAGTAAATTCTTGCTTTCAGTTACCATTATGATCTGTCTCACTGTGATGACGGAAAAACATTAGAAAGTAAGCTTTGCGGTCATTATCAGTTTTGTCAGGATGGTATATGGCATGAAGGTAAATGTCAAGACAATCGACAATTTGCAAATGGCCGCTGCCAAGAATATTCTTCTGAAAAGCGTAAGAACCATGATTTGCATAATTTTTCGCTTACTATTGTGAAATTGAATTTAATGTCAACACCCCATGACCAAACTCGGTGATAAATATTATAAGTATAATATCCAATTTCGCATTAACTAGCTTGTCCACACACAGAGTAAGCACACTCAATTTATTTATATTTGATATTTATATTAATGATTATAATTACTAGTGATTACCTGTTAAGTTCTATTTAATTCTATATATCGGTTAATTTCTTTTATAAATATGCAAAATATATCATCTTAGCTTTCCGTAGAAATTTGTAAATAATTTTCTAACAGTGATCTTCAAGGAAACCTTTCTACATGTCAAAATGGTGATGTTTCGGTTAATAATTCTGATTTAATGCGGTATTTTAAATGCATTAATGGTAGATTTCGAGAACAGTTTTGCGAAAATGGGACTATATTCGATGCGGAAGTAAATGTTTTTTTTATTAACGATTACTACCACATTAACAATTATTTACGTAAAATTTGCATAATTTTATAAGTTGTTTGTACATTAACTAGTATGATTTGACAAATTTCCACTGAAACATAAGAATTATTACTAAGAATTAGTAAGAAAATTTTGTTATGAATGAAATTCTAGCGTGGGTTCTGCTCAAAGTGTACAAATTGTACGTCAGAGAAACGTTGTAAGGAAAAAGAAACAAAGGCAAGCTACGGAGTCTCCGCAGCTTATTATATGTGTGAGAACGGCAAGTTCAGATCACGTTTTTGTCCATATGGATTCGTTTACAACCATGATAACCGAGCATGCCTACAATACACTGCAACAAGCATGTTTGAACAAACTTGCAAGGTTATATCACTCTGCAGAAAGCTCTTATCCGCTCCTCCTTCTCTTGACTTCTTGGATATCATGAAGCTGAAGTGCAGAATACTTGCTCATTTTCTAACTTATTATTTAAGAAAATTTAATTACCAAATTATAGGAGACCGGCGATTCTGCTGGGTATCGAGCAGATCCACTAGACTGTCATCAATTTTATCAATGTGCCAACGGAAAATGGGTCTCTAAGACTTGTCCGGCTCATTTATTTTGGAATCCGGAAAAAACAATATGTGACTGGCCTGACCAAGTCGATTTATGCACTCAACGTGAAACGTGAAAATTCTGCTGCATCAATTTGATTTGTAATACACGTGTGAATTGAATGTATGTGCATTTATTACGACTGCTTAATCAGTCAATTCATTTTAATTTTCTGTACATTTTGCAGCAAATGTTTAGTACTATTAAAGTTTACTGCTCAAGTTTAAAACTGAAAAATTTTCCATGTGTCATTTAAAGTGGTACTTTCCACATGAGAGAGGGTAACAGAAATGGTGCATTGCGGTGAAAATAACTTGGATCTAATAAACTGCAAAAAATCAAATAACGAAAATAGTACTTTTTCAATCGAAAAGCATGCTGAACAATTAATTTTCCTCAACTGTAATGCACCAATTCTCACACTTACAGTAGTTCTTTAGACATGCTAAACAGTTGATGAATATTTGGAAAACATCAAAAAACTATATAAATATATACACATATAATAAACCCGAGCGAGCTATTTCTGAAAACTTCTTTCTTGCTCACATTCTTGAAGAAAGTGGTCAAAAAAGTATGGACGGAAACAGTAATAAGAAGAAACGAGATTAGAAAAAGCAATAGATAAAAATGGAATCTTAGAAATCTTCCAAGGAAATTCAGATAAAACACAATCTTTTCCTTCTTCTCGCATAAAAATGAACTGAAAACGGAATAAAAAAGAATGAACGACGAAAAATGGCAGGTTATTATAGCAAGTAATATAATTAATAGTCAGTGCAAAATAAAAGTGATTTAGGCAATTTGAAATTGAAAAAACGAGAAAAAGCCAACAATAATAGGGCAAATTAATTAATTTAAAAGCTAACAAAGAAAAATGAAAAAAGAAAGTATATTACCACGAAGTAACAATAACGAGAACATTGGCAGATATAAAGTAATAAAAATCTGAACAGAGCCAATTTTCTATTTCATCCCGTCTTCCACAAATTCCCGTACAGTACAAACAATAAATTACAAGCATTCAATGATAAGCATTCATCCCCGTACTACTTTGCACATAATGAACGGAGCACATCATCATCTATCTATCTGCTCAATCACATCACTTTATTTTTAACAATAGTAAAATCAGAACCCTGGGTTTTATCGACAAAAATAAATCAAAACTGTACACAAATCGAAACAAAACAATGAAAATTAACCCCTGAAAATTATATTAGAGATGGAAATCAATGATACAAACATACATACATGAACAAATACACCTCATCTACATTATTGTATTCTAGTAAATATGCCAATCGAAAACTAGGAATAATTAGTAGATCATTAAAAAGTGATGAATAACTAGTCAGGTTTCATGTCATTCTTTATCACAAACTCAATTTGACCTCCCGCAAATTATCTTTTCAAATCACAATCAGTTATTAACATCACTGAAAACATTCTTATCATGGTGGATATAACATAAAAGAGAATCACTCACAAAATTTGACCGGTCAAACAAATAACCCGTCAATATTGGCAAAAAGAGTACTTTAAAAGCTCAGAATGTAATTTGGTTGATACTAAATTGGAAATATGAACTAAGAATCTATTAGCACAAAAATTATTACTTTGAACAATCTTACTTAATACTGTATCAGTGAACTATTTAGATATATAATCACAATTCTTAAATAAACTCTCTATCAGACTCTCACTCTTGTAGCAGTACTAACAACCTGCTCTAAACACAGTAGCATATCATTGAACAGAATAATGATGTTTTGAGCCGTCCTATATTGCTCCAAATATGAGCATATTTCAATTTCTAACCTCGCATTAATCTGCTTGGAAGATCAAAATTTTCTTACATTATTTATATTTACATAAATCTGATCTGGAAGGATTAATTCTATAAAAATTCAAGCTAATCGATAAATAAAAATATAAACTGTCCTGGTAAATATTTCAAAGGAGAATGAAACTGCATCGCTTGCAATAAGTATTTCAATTCCTCGTATTTAGCACCGAGCGGATTGTACCTACCTACTTACAACATGAATAACAATGATTTGAAAATAAACTCTAATTACCCATAATGCAAGGAATATGAAAGAAAATAAACAGAGGCAGGAAGCTAAATACTGAATCTAACCGTAGAAACACCCTATCTTTAAGAAACACCACTTACGTAAATAAAAGCGCATAATTTCAAGAATAAATAAAATGTCGGCTTTTCGATTAGCTAACTTCTTGTACGCTAGACTAATTTTGCCAAAACGAAGTACAAAATGACTCCACTATGATTTAGAACACCTATAATTACAATCACACAATTCTTAATGAATACAATTGTGAGTTTCTGTTTCAGCATGCTGTTCACAGAAAATCTTTAAAATGAATAAATGCTAGCAATTAAAAAAGAATGTGCATATCTTACTAAATACATTACATAACTTTAGCTAAGCTGAAAGGAGAGCTGAAACTGTTTTTGTTGACAGTTTTGAATGCATCATCTAATTTTGATGAAAATACCACATGACAATTCTCAAAAATTGCACTAATTAATGATGAAAGACGGATTTGATTCATACAAGCAAGCACTGCGAATTTCTAAAACGAAACACATCTGCAAGAATGAATAATCGCAGATTTATTTCAGTGGAATGCCTGAACTACTGTGAATTCACCACTGTTCTGTTCTCCTCCCCTTAATCAAATAATATCAAATCCGATAAATCTCTGGCAAACAACCAATTAGCACAGAGACAATTGAAATCTGTTATTTCAGACTTTCAACTTCTGTGCGTTTACAAGGGAAGTAAGCTTGAACATCTCAAAGCAGATGAAATGAACATTAGAAGCCTGCACCAGACTAGCAATCAATCTAACAAACAAATTAAATGCGTTCAGAGGAAGAACAAAACTTCTATTTGTCATTAAAGAAAGAAAGCAAAAAGATAAAAACTAACACAACGTCTAGTCGTCAAAAAGTCAAAAAAATAACAACTGAGTGAGGAAATGGAAAATTTCAGTTACGAAAATGAGTTGATATATCGTTACAAATGAAACTTCAAAAGACAGATTTCTTCACAGAACAGATGCCAGCCTCTTAGCATCGACGGAAAATACGCTGCACAAGAAGCCGAATCATAGCAAAAGTTAGTTAATAATACCCTCTTTCATAGTTCGCCACTAAAAAAATTGACATTTTCTGTTTTCCTCATAGCTTTAATAATATTGTATCCTTTAGCTGAGCAATCCATTTCAATTTTGCTTCACTACAAATATCACTTGTCAGGACCAAATATATTCAGTAATATTGCAAAAAAACCAGAAATATTATTGTCATTTATAATTTTAAAAATTTTGTTCGGTATTAAGCAACATAATAGCGTTTGCTGCAAGTTTGAAAATAAGTTTAACTATATGATTACTTATACATATGGAATGCAGGACTCTAAGCTGGCTTACTTTTTACAGAAGCAAAAGTGTATTCGTTAATTAAGTAAATTAAATTTATAACTACCGTTCTAATCAAATAAAATGCTTAGATCATGTTTATAAGATCATTACTAAGTGAAATTAACATTTAATGCACTTTAAAATCTCAAGATCTATCTTTGCAAAAGATAATTGACTAAAATTGCTAACCAGAATAACGAGAACTCTGAGTAATTTCTGCCACCAACCAAAATGCTTCTGAAATGTAATTAGAAGAATAAACTAAGATCAAAATTGAATGAGCGCCACAAATTACAAACAAAACAAACCAAAACTATAACAATGTTGATTTGTGCCTACGTCGTCCTAAACGTCGACGCAAGTCAAGCAGAGCAAATTTCTCTGTTCGTGTTTCATGCGGTGGAGCTGAATGAACACCTGAACGCCTTTCGACACGAGTAACAACAGCTGGTAGATGTGGACGTGACACTTGACTTGAGCCTGCCGACCGTAAGACATTTTGCATACCTGAAGTTCCTGGGACTGGTTCACTTTGACCACGACCTTCACCAATACCGGCTACACTTGTGTCATAACCTTCGATATGACGCAAAGTAATGCAAACATCACCGATCTAAAATTATATTCACATTTCATAATACATATTTTCAAAGTAATTCCTTTATAATTTAACGCGTTAAACTTTTGGAATTTTTAGACTACTTTCAGAAGAAATTTCCCACAAAATTATTATAAGAATGAATATATTTCATTTACACTTTTCTTTTCTCAAAGATTAAAATAAATTAAAACTGTGTACTTTGTTAGCACGAAGAATCAGTACTTTTTACAATGCAAAAGTGTAATATATCATTCATTCTAAGGAAAGTTAATTTAAAAAAAAACTTATTTTCAACTGTCTGCAAGTTAATCCGTATATACCATGTGTCCTTTCTGGACTACACGATGACCAGCCTTGGTCAACAACAAAGTAAGGATGTTCGATACCTGCTTCTATAGTTACCTGAAACACATTGAAAAATTGAACATTGAAAGTAAAAACTATCAAACAATAACATAAGACATGCAGTTTCTTAAGAAATTATGAAGATCATAGAGCACATGATGCAGAGAAATTACCAAGAACATTGAATTGAGAAAAGTAAAAATCAATTTAGGGTGAATTTTGATAAATAACAATATCTTACATCGATACTCTGAAAATGAATTCTGAAAGTAAAGCACTTTGCTTTTAGTGTACGATAGGACTCAGAAAAATATCAAGGCACTGCACAATAAGCACATGTTTTCATCCGAGCACAATCATAATTTTCTGCCTATCATACAAATGAGAGCTAAATTGCTCGCAATCATTAAGTTACATTTCCAAGTCCCACTAAAAATTCTTATGCAAAAATAAAAGTGAAAATAACAAATAAATGGATTAATAAAGAAACTAAGCTACTGTTTTCAGAAAAGTTCTCGTTTTGAACAAAGCAATTTCCTCACGGATCCTAAATAAATAATTCTAATTTTCAATTCAAAAAAATATTCTGTTTAAACGATATGAATGACGCAAAGCATTTTTGTACAAACTGAATGGGATGAATCAAACTTTAAGATTGATCTTAAAATCATCTCCATTCTTTTCGTAAAAATCTAGAAAATAGCCTGATCGTACTGAAAATATATTTAAGTTCTACCATACTGGCTACCTAATTATTGGTTCTTGCAAGAGCTTTTTTAAACAGAACATATAATCACGATTATTGCATTCCAAAAGTATGACAAATGAATTTTCGCAAGTGATTGGCAATTATACAATATTTTTCAGATATATGCACGCTACGAGCAATATATTTATTCACTTCATAGTTGAACTTTATACACATAAAGTTCATGAAAATAATCACCTGCAACCTTTGTTCACCAACAGCAAATGTAACGAGAACTTGGCGATCTTTTTCAGTTTCCTGTATTCTCATCACCACACTGCTACAAAGTATCATATCACTTTTCATTGCCGCAGATAAAACAAAGTCTTCCGTACTCATTTCTTCAATTCTTTTCAGCAAACCTGATTGCAATCTTATCACCGTACCTAAATTAGCTTCTCGATCATCGATACAAAAAAAACTTGATTTCCAATATGGAAAACTAAAAAAAGCGTACAATTTAATACAACATGAAAGGAATCATAGGAACTTTCTTACATCTCAAAATTATTAGGGAAAAATAACCAGAATATTAAATTTTTTAACAAAATTAATGAAATGAGGAACTTTAAGGGTCAAAATTTTATTACTATACTTCTACCTACTTTCAATAAACCTTTGAAATATTTACTGAACTTTAGAAAAAAGGAAAAATAAAAATATGCATTTAGGTCCAGATACAATACAGGTATCAGTTTTGAACAGTATGTAAGCAGGCACAGCATATAAGCAGGAAAAAATAACTGCTTCAATCACTAACTGTTAAGAATAGCAAAAGATAGCTCAAAAAATACAAAATGTTTTTGTTTTGAAAAGGCTTATAAAAGATTGAGAAGGATTTGTGATAACAGCCAGTGCAATCAGACTCATCCTTATCAAGGAGTTTTTGCAATGAAATATTAGTAAAATGACTAAATTTTTCCTTGATTCACAGAAAAACACTCCAATACTGCATAATTCACAAATGTTCTATTAAAAACATTAGATTTTCTTTCTTTTCTATTTATTGCTTATTGATACGACAACATTAAAAAAAGCAAAATGGATTAATTTAGTGGCTAACATCATTAGTTGTCCATGGATAGCAGCTACAATGATATACCAAGAGATGATGAGCTGCAAGAAAGTACCAGGCAAATAAGTTTCATGAAAAAAAGTTGTGAAGCGAACCGCGCATAAAATGCGATGGATAATATGGCTGCAACGGCAGTGGTCTCATTTGAATAGATGATAACGATGATGGCTCCGAAGCACTGGATGTTGAACTAGTCAATGAAGACGAAGGAGTTGGTCGCTGATAAGGAATGTATCTGGAATCAATTTTTAAAATATTCGTAGATTTTCTAATCATGGTAATTTTATTTCTCATTTAAAAAAAATTCACTGTAATTAATTACTTTTTAATGATAGGAAAGAAATTCTTGGAAATTTTTCTTATACTTTTGTTTTAAAATGCGTTTGTGTCACGCAAAAGTTTGACAACAGTAAACTCGCATTTTAAATTGATTCATGGGTTGAAAAATTGAATGATGGCATAAAAACTAAAATGAAAAATGTGAGCCGAACTCAGGAACGATAATCTATCTACCAGTGAACCGAACAGACATATTTAACTATAATTACCAGACCATATAATCAGAATTACATATTATTAAAAAGAAAATCAATAAAACATGGCTAATAATAACTGAAGCAATAAAGATAAGATTAAAAATAATATAAGATTTAGCTATTCCAGATATGCATCAGTATATTGAGCAAGGTAGTTAATTGCCATTTGTTAACAATTTGCTTATGTCAAGGTAAAATAACAACAGACTAGAAAGTTATCTGCCATTTTCTCATTACAAAATATCACTGAGATTACAAACAAATAATTTTTTACAATACGTACCTGCGACGTTCTTGAGTTGAACCGTGTCGGAAACGAGGCAGTGAGGGTGGTGGCATCATTACAACTCGACCAAGAGCTGCATATTTATGTATATTATTGCAAATAGATTGTTTTTCATATGTCATTATCTTCACTGCACAAACTATCCATACAATAAACGACGAAAAAAAATTGCTCAGCGTTGTTTCAAAAACAAAAATACCATTATTGACAAAATTCTATTCTAGCAGAATTTCCTAAACAGACACTGAGCACATCATTAAAAACAGAAAAATACCTTTACTTTACATTTATATACATGCATGGAATTGGATATAAAATAACTTCACTATACATATTCACTGTTATGACTATTGTCATTAATTTATTCGTGAGAAAAACCTTGTGAATACGGTTGTGAAACGGAAGGTTGATGATAAACAGCTTGTGAGGAAGTAGTAGCAAGAACATGAGACGATGCGGTGCCAGCACTCGGAATTAATAAAGGTTGACGTGCAGCAGCTGCAACACGAGAAATCAACGGCTGAGGATGCATGAATTCCATTCTAGAAGTAAGCGAACTTGTCTCAGCACCTAACGTAGACGACAACAAATGAGTGGTGGTGGAAGCTGTTGTCACACGTGCAGCAGTTGTTGGTGCTTGCTGAAATACCTGCGAAAGTGACGACTGTGACGATGGCAGCACTCCGACAACTGCTAACGCAGCATGCATCTGAGCTAACAAATGAGACGACGATGAACCATGCAGCGTTGATTGCGGTTGTGGTGCAGATGGAATCACACTACTAGCGGTTACTGAAGTCCCAGTCGGCGCTGCTGCTACAGCAGCTGCTGCAGCTGCTGCTGCGAGTTGTTGTTGATGTAATTGCAGGAAATACCGTTGGATATTTTGCTCTACACTTAATGATGATGTTGTCTGCGGCCCAACGCGTGGTCCTGTAAATACAAAATTATGATATTAACATTGCAGAGAGAGAAAATTATTCTTTACAGGATCGCATCATCTTCCTAGTAATGAAAATTAAAATTTGTTTGATAAAGTATAAATATTCTGATAGTTTCCATGATAATCAATTATCGCTTTCATTATGGTAAAAAAAAAACCACCACCACTTTCAAATAGTTAACCTATAAAGAGAGGCAGAAAGTAGTCAGCAAATGGCATAATCATAATGAAAGTGATAATTATGGAAACTATTAGAAAAAAATACATACATATATGGTCCGAACTTTTACCAATTTGTGAGGAACGTCCACCAGATGCAGCAGCTATTGAAGCAGCGGCAGCTGCAGCAGCGTGATGTTGTTGTGCGGCGGCAGCCAAAATAACCTGATACTGTGCCAAAAGAGCTGGATTCATAGCACTTAGCACTTGAAGTTGTGTTTGTGCAGATGAACCAAGACCAGGACAAGTACCGAGGCCAGAACCAGGACTGGAACCAGAGACAGAACTGGAACCAGAGCTCAAGCCAATACCCGTTAACAATGAGGCACTGGAAATGGCAGGAGAAGGCAAAGAGGAAAGTGGTGATATATTAACGTTTAGCTCAGTTCCCGGTGACGGTTGCTGGCTCGTCGATGGTTGTGAGTAGCGTAATCCTGTGGTGGCCACATGTGTAGAATGCAGTTGCTAGAGTATAACAAATTTTGTCAGATTTTGCCATCGTAAAGTTTGATCAATATTAATAATTTACCATTCAACGATGAATAAATAACTGTAAAGGAACTTTCCTAATCAGTCAGTTTCTTGTGACGAAACACCACATTAATGTACTGTGATAATATGGAATATACAATTTATAATCCATCACTACTGCAGTTTTTAGTGTTATCATTCTCAATACAACGAAAGGTATTTATCGCATTTGATTCATTGTTAGTGTAGAACTGTTCTTCACTACACGAATTTCACACAGCAAAAAACTCGAGTTTGCAAATGCGATACGTTTTGAGGTGTAGAAAAAAATGATTGAGGAAATTTTAGTGCTAAAGGATGATGATGCTGAATTGTTAAAATAAGTGAGGTCAGAGTCTTACTTGCATTTCAAACTGTGGCGGCCAACCCACAGGATGCTGAACAGTGGGTGAGTGCAGCGTGGGAAAGGATTCCCTCAAGATCGCAGCAGTCTGCGGGACGAGGCCAGCGCCCAACGAGAAAAGCTGCGATGGCGGAACCGTGCTGAGCTGAAGTTTTAATTTTTCATTAACATGCAACAAAATCACACAATGCATATGCTAGTGAGATCTATACAAAATTATATTATTCAAACACGATACAGTACAAATGTAAAAGGGTAAACCACAAAAGTAGGGTCATAGTTTTTATAGCAGATTCTTGGATGCCCTTGAAAAACATAAGTGACTCACGTTTTAAATAATTAGCATGCTGATGAGATGGACAACTGAAGAATGCTTTCCTTTATTACAGTATCAGGAAAAGTTTCCGATAAAAATATGCTGTTAGCGATGGGAGGAAAGGTCTACTAATTAATCCACAAGCACTTGAAAAAACTACAATTCTTAAATAGAAAAAATAAGTAGCAAAGAGATACTTGATTAGCAGCAAAGGGAGAAGTTTCCTCCTGATGCTGCTGCGGGAAGATGGCAACAGAGATGACAGGTTGCTGCGCACGTGCTGTAACGGGGATAGTGACGCTGGACTGACGGGTGAAACCGCCTTCCGGTGGTGCTTTCTCCGACTGCCGAGAACCCCCTGGCGCACCATTCATAGAAATTGCATAGAAACGATTCAAAATTATCTCTTCGACCCCAAAACACACGTTTGTCCTCTTTTTCTCACACTCTTCACTTCACGGCAATCCTGAAGAAAGCTTTATCCAATTAGATTTCATTGATTTAGATTCTATGAATACGAGACAATAAAACATCTCAAAACATCACCTGATTACATTTGGGATGTATTTACATACAAGTAAGTAAACAACTAAATTACATCATCTTTATCATCAGTAATCCGTAAATAAGTGAAGACGTCCAAGATGTAATAATAAACCCAATATTTGCTTGAGCACTACAAATTAAGCCATTTACTTCAAATGTGGTAGTTAATGTAATTAATCAGAATCAGTTGAGAAAATGCAATGAATGGATGATTTGAAAGAAAGTAACTCAAGTAGTACTGATTCTTGTTTGACTTTTCCGAAATTATAAAAAGTAGAATTCTTAGTAGATTGCAGCTTAGGAACTAGAGAACCAACCTAAAAGTGAACCGGAAGGGTAAACTAAGCGGGTTGCTTGTATGACTGAAAAGCTGAAATGCTAACGGTCTTGTCATGCCAGATGTCCACACCTTGTCATACTAAATTTTTTATAGTTTATGTTTCTATATTAAAATTTTTCACTAGAGTATATCCAGAACTGATTTGTAAATAGAGCTAAGCGCGGAAGAGAACTTCAAAGCAACGATTTTAGACCCCTGACTGGATGAGTCGATTGCAAAATTCTCACCAGGTGTATTGTATTCATGACATATCTATCACGTTGACTGGACTGTAAAAGCTGAACTTACACAAATAAATGATGCATCATATATTGCTGCATTCAACCAGCATCATTCATGCTAATTTCATTTTACTTCCCAACAGTCACACTGAAAAGTTTTTGCTTCTCTTCACCATTGTACAGATTACTGAAAGAAGTGAGAAGAATGTGGAGGAGAATGATTTAGATAAGGTAAAGGGAAAGTAAACTCAAATGAAGTAAAGTAAGGTAAGAGTTATTGGAGAGGAGAGAACTTATCAAACTTTTCTTCGTTATGCATTTCACATTTAATTGCAAAAACTTTTCGCAGTAAGTTGTAATGTTAAAGAAAATAAGTAACTGGTAACAATGACGGTAATAATCATAATGATGACGATGATGATGCTGGTGATGGTATGCATGAAAGGGTAACTTACCATGCAAAAGAGAATAAGTTGGGTGTCTCGAAGGGAATAAAAATAAAAATTGTAGTCCAGAAGAAGAAACATTCTTCACATCATTTATTGGTTTTATATATATACACACCACATACACGCACACACGTACACAATCATACACATCCCCACAAACATTCACGCTTAAATACTCTTGTCTAACAAACACAGACAGGAACACACATGGAACCAGAGTAAAATTCATTAAGAATTAATAATACTATAACTATAACAGTTAGTAAATAATAGTTAGGAAGTGTAATGTAAACATGAGAAAACGTTTTGTGTAGAGCATAAAAATTGTTAGTTTGTGCAGTGAAAAAGAACGAAGAAGAACGCGAGATTTTGCAGAAGTGCAAAGCCATCAGAAGCAATTTGCAGCATTAAACAAACTATCATTTCCACCAGTCTTCACCATCATCACCTTTATTATTAATATCATCACAAATATGTGTATTGCATTTGCTATCAATACGAAATGTACCACTGTCATAATCAGCGTTTAATATTATTTGTGTTTGTCATTGTTACTGTCAAGATACTTTCAACTTTTCTCTTTACCATTGAAGTAAAAGGACAAGGTACTGTTACATGAAGAGGAAGCGTTACATCCTACTCTTCCATTCAACGCTTTTATTCAAATTCTTAACGCTAGCATAAGAATTGCATCGCTTAAAATAATTGGCTTCGTAAATTATCTCACATTTATTGTGTTCAACAAATGATTGTCGAATGAAATCTGATAACGACAATTCTTTCGCATTCTTGTTTCCGCAAACTTACAATGAATTACAACTATACGTATGAGCGTAAGGTCATATATTTAATATATTTATACGTTTTGTACCAAGCAATATGTCTTCACTTTGTTTTCAAATTTTTACTTTTGACTCTTAGAAACTGAAAAATTCATCAAACAAATTATCAGTAATGGATTATATTAAATTTACTTGATTCAGTATCAAATCCACGATATGATGTTTCTTCTTCTGTGCGTAAATCATAAAGACGATTTGATGAGAAAAATGAAATCAGCAAGAATGATGACTGATATTGCATCATCCCTAACACTGATAAAAATTTTTTAGTGACTGACTGCATTTCTGTTATCACTTTGCAGTACATTAATATGGTTTTTAAAAGTTAGCACAGAAATATTTTAACTCTTTTGAATTCTTCTGGAATTTAATTGTAGATTTGATTTCTCATGAAGGAAATTAATATAAGTTAATCTTAGATGGCAATATGGATTTCAAAAATATTCCAATAGTTTATTCAACAGTGAGATTCATAACACGCTGAAAGGAGATTGTTTGCTTTGTGATGAAAGTTAGGAATAGCCAGAAATACAAAATAGTCAAAAATAATAGACCGAAAATGAGACTGCTTTTGATATTGAAATATTGAGAATATGAACTGGATTTCAAGAAAAGCTCATTTCTATATAACTTACATAGTTTGTTTTCAACAAAAATGTTTGTTTCTTTCGTTATATATGGATTCATTGGAAGATGAAGGACAATATTATTGAGCTTGAGTTTTTCAGTTGAATAGAAAAGACTTGGTGATAAGGTACTAACAAGACGCTGTTGTACAATGATAAAGGATGGACCGGACTGATTATTTTAATGGCATAATTCCACTGTCACTTTTGCCTTTAGCAGCAATGAGAGAACACTATGGTCAGTTAAAAGAAATTCAGAAAATCGTCCTGAATGTCTATTTTGTCTTATGTCTAATATCAACTTCAGTTACTTAATATTTATTTAATACAAAACTAGCCGCTTCTCATTATCAACGATCGTCATTATTGCAATAACTATAACTAATAACTAAAAACTTCTGAGTAATTGCAATATTTTTCAGCTTACTTCAACATCCATTTTTATTACTAATTAACGGGGGAGATATTTACTGCCATTAATAGCAGTGGTTGCAGTGATAATGAAATCAGTCCATAAGAAAGCTTGTTGATTACTGACAATGTTTTATTCACATTTTTTATATTTATGTAGTTTCTTCCTTCATGAAGAATAATATTTAAGAAAAAATCATTTCTAATGATCAAAGGAAAATTTGTAACTGCGGACTATTACAAAACATTACTAGAAACCAGCTATATTAAAATCGATTTGCATCCATGGACACGATGTACTAAGAACTTTCCATCACCAATTTGTCTTCTGCAACTTTCAGTGAAATAATTGTCTTGAAAGTATACTCACTTATTAGCATGAAAACAACGATATTCCAAATTTCGATTGCTCCCAACGATCTGGTCTCTCTCTACAAATTTGCTGATCAATTTTTGGGTATGTTTGAAATACCATTCATAAGCTTTACTTTCATATTTACAATTTACTTAAAAACTTTTGATACAATCCTTTCAAAACATTAATTTTGTAGGAAAAAACTATGATATCCACTAATTTCGTTCTTGGGTCAGTCACATTCTGCACAATATATTTGGTCTCATTGCTTATTTTCAATCAGTAATACTCACTGCAACCAATAATCAAGAAGCACGAACGTCCAACATGTAGCAATTTTTTTAATAACTAGATATTTTTGCTCAAAGTTTCAAATAAAGTTTTGAAGATCCCTCCTTCATTAAACTACTTTGGCAAGGTGACACTCTCAACCTGAACTTAAACCTGTTCTTAAAAGAAGAGAAAAAACATGTCATGACAGTCAAATGAATATCGTAAACATAGTCTGAACATTATTAGAAGAATTTTTTGAATTATATTCAAAATGGATATTAAGAGTAAATACAATTATTTAAAGCATCAGTTATATCAATACAAAATACCCTGTCGTTGGTGCAGTTTTTCATCATCAATAACTGCTGCTCTCCAAAGTACTGACATGTTTTTTAGAGGGTCAAAGGTCGCTAATAAAATTTACTGCTTAAATGTCATATATTTTAGTGGATGGCAAATGTGTTGGCTTTCAAACTTTCAGCGCGAAAAATAACGTAAGCTCTCAATTTCACACAGACTAAGATGTAAAGTTTAGAATACATCCGTTATTCAAAAAGTCAGCGAAGAGGCAAAATAATTGGAGAAAACTAAATTAATTCAAACACCTTCCATTTGTTACACATTTCCATCTGTTTGCTTCCAGTGATTCTGAATGCAAAAAAATATACAAATATATCGATGCTTCAAATTTTCACTGGTATATGCTCATTAGAATGTATGCAGTACATCTAATTCAATTATTTTGCTTCTAAAGTTACTTTTTCACTGATCAGTCAAATTTCACGCCTACTCATGAGCAAATGGAAAGTTTCCATGGAGGTGAAGCATACATTTATAGGAAAGGACAGAAGAGAGGAAACTGATAATGGGGTTAATTTACGTAAGCAATAATTGTTGCGCGAAGTGAAGAACCGGTTTTCACTGTTACACTCATTCTTCCATGAATTTCTCGAAATTCGACCATCTGACGAAAACGTTTCGCGTGATGGCTTTTCTTAACTTTCTACAACTTCCTTCAACTGAATTTCATGACCTTACAGTCTGCGCCTCCAATAGCGACTTGCACTTGGCACCTGGACACTGCACAAATTAGATTATACTCCATTCATTCAAGTGATTAAGTTTGAAACCATCGACTTATTTAATTAATTAATGTTTGGAGCGCCATTAATCCCAAAACTATCCCGTAGGAATATCATTGGAACACTGCTGTCCATTCATTTCTTAGCATTTTAGACACCAAAATTCGAACTCATTTTAGTTACACTTTGAAGCTGCATCTACGTAACATCCCACTGTAGGCTTAAAAAA